AAATGCTGGAGGCTGGGATTGGGGGGCACCCACTGGGGGGCTGAGGGTGCAAGTGGGGGATGGACCTGGGCGGAGCAGCCATCGGGAGGTCTGGGGGAGCAGGGGGGCAGCCATCAGGGGGGCTGCAGGAGCCAGCGGGGGATGGGGCCAGGTAGGACAGCTATCCAGGATCTGGGGAGCAAGCAGGGGTGGAGCATGTTGGCCCTGCAGGGGGGTGGTAGCCCCTGCAGGGGTCATTTGGCCCCTGTGGGGGGGCTGTAGCCCCTGTGGGGGGCAGCAAAACATATAGGTATTTATTATCATGATAGAGACACTGGTAGTTTTCTAAATTGCTTTAATACTGTAGATATATCAATATATCATTGCCCAACTGATCGCTGTCTCTCTTTCTCTCCCTCTCTGTCTCTCCCTTTCTCTATATAGTGATCTTTTGTTTTAATTGTGGAGGAACATGGATTTTGGGGTATTTTACAGAGTGACTCTGGGATTTTTTGCTCAGGGATTATTCAGTTTCCCAATAGGGAACACCAGAATTGCTGCTAGGGAGCCCAGTGGCAGGACCCTGCCTGCTCAGAGCTGGCACCTTGGACCCAGCTGGAGGTGGCTGACTTCCTGGCCGGTTGGGGCCAGGAGGATATGCTTTGACAGTTCAAAGCAGGCCACCACACCTGGAACATCTGGGCGATAGCTGCCCCTATGGCCAGGCAGGGGGCACACACACCAGTAGTGCTGCACAAAGGCCAACTCTGCAGCCACAGCCCACTGGCAGCTGGCCCAGAGGGGCAGATGCCTCTACTGGCTGTGCAGTCCCCGTCTGGGTCTGCAAGGTGCGCAGCAGGTCACAGCCAGGCAGCAGCCCCCACTGCCAGCCTGCTGCAGTGGGTAAAGGGTGCAGGGCTGCTTCAGCAGTCTAGCTGGCACAAGGGATAGTGTCTCCAGGTACCAGTTGGCCCAGCCCCAGGAGCTCCTGAGAATGAGTACCCCTGAGCTACTTGCCAGGGCAGTTTTTTATACTGCTGGGGACAGCACAGGTGCTGGCCCCAGGCTCTAATTCCCCCTGACTGCAGATCCAGGAGGAGCCAGGCAGAGTTATTTTGCCCCAAGTGGCACAATTTTCCCCACACCAAAGTGCATGTCCAGGCACATGTGCGGAGGCAAAAAGCCCCAGCTCAAATTTGCACCGCTTCTATTTGAGCTCCTGTAAGCACACACACTTCCATGTGTGGACACGCCCCATGTGATCCTAATCCGCCCTGCTCCAGTCCTGGAAAATGTGCTAATACAAAAAGCAAGTGGGTCCTCCTCCTTTTCACTCCTGTTTTGTGACTTAGTTTCACGGCCAAGATGACAGCATGTTATGAAAACAGGAACATTCATAGACTGTCAGGAGCACCAACAAGGTGGAACAGGATCACGTCTAGGTACCTAAATCCACTTAGGCACCTAATAGGTGGAGTAGGATCTGGCCCTCAGTGCCTTCTCTCCTGGCTTGTTCCGGGAGTCAGAGCACTGTGAGCCACTGCCCTGACACTGAAAAGTTACTAGGAAGAAGGAATCACTCACCCAGTAAAACAAGGCTCCTGGTTACTTCGTACCGCACGGGCAGACTCCTGCATACCTGTAGCTAGGAGAAGCAGATCCTCCTCAGGCCAGAGGAAGAACACAGAGTATAGTATTATCTGAAATTCTCCCTTGGTGTCCATCTGCAGATCTCTCCCCTTTCTAACAAGCCCAATCTCCCAGCCCTACTACTGTTTCTCCCTTTAGCTGACACTCCCAGTCCCCTGCTCCCCAGAGAGGCTTTTTCACCTCCCCTTCTAAATTAGCCTCCCATGTCCCTAAATGAATCTCCTGCGAAGATGTAATGAAAGCCAAAATCCAAATGCAAAAGCCATTATAGAGGAACAACCATATCTTTGGATTATACCTACAGCATTCTGCAGTGCAGAGAGGACCAGCTCATTCGTTTCTCCCAGGCAGCCTAGGGCCTAAAATGATATGTGCCAGGTTACAACAATCAGTAGAGGCCTCTGACCCAGTCCCCAGTGACACTCAGCTCAGAGATCACAGGCAATGCAGTCACTGAGAGAGCCATAAAGGTCCCAATGCCCATCCCTGGCTGGCTACCCCACTGGAGAGACAGGGCAGTTGGCATATGCCCCAGCCAGAGCTCCTGGGGCACTCAGCTGGAGTGCTTCGTGGAGTGTGCCTGGGATTAGTGACACCCCTGACAAAGGAAGAACAGAATTCCTGACTGCACCTGAGCTGTGTAGACTTGCTCTTGCTCCACAGAAGAAGCCAAGCTCCCGATGAGATCCTGCAGGTACATAAGGCAAGTAAGCCCCAATACACGAAAGCAAGAAAGAGTCACAACTCTCATGCAAATATTCTCCCCTTTCTTTGAGAAGAGTCTAATTGTGGATGTACCCCATGGGCAACATGGTCACTAGCACCACGTTGCACTGGTGGCGACTGACTGAGTGGAGTAAGGATGGTCTAGTGAACCAGGACTATAAGACGGAGACCTGGATTTGTTTTTGGCTGGCACCCTTTGTTATACCCAGTAAGTTCTGGCTTCTGACCTGCATCCTTTTCCTCTTCCACATGTTGATCTCAGGATCGTTGTCCACATATTTTATCTTTGGTGGGTACAGACAGTGAGAGGCTTTCAGGAAGTTTGAGATAAGCATGCGTGAGCTAGCCCTAGGTAAGAGCAGAAATCACAGGTTACGTTCTGCGCTAATTATACAACGCACCTAGCAGACCCTGCATTTCATAGCTGGGTGCCGGAGCCGTGGGAGCTGGAGAATCCATGTCCCTGAAATACAGACTGCTCTTCAGTGCTGAGCTCTCTCTCATTTGACACACACCTGAGCATGACATGTGGTTATTATGATTAACCACTTGTATTACACCAATGACTGGAGGCCCAAATTGATATATGGCCCCGCTGTGCCAGGTGCTGTACCCATGTGCACTATAGAGACATGGCTCAAAGAGAGTACAGCCTAAATAGGCAAGACAAAAAATGAAAGCTTATTATCACCATTTCGCCAGTAAGGAACTACGGCAGAGAATGGTTGAGTGACTTGCCCAAGGTCACACAGGTAACATGTGGCAGAGCTAAACTATAACCCCTGATCTCTTGAACCTTAGTCTAGTGCTTTAACCATTAATCTGCCATTCCCAGCCATCTCTGTGCCTCGTGTGCTTGCCCAGTGCCTTGACACTTGGGCTGTATATGCTGCAAGGGGCTGTTGCTTTGTTTACAGAAAGACTTTCCCTCTCTTCTTTGCTTTTATTCCAGTCACAGAAGCATTTCAACTGATCTTACAAAAATACATTTGGGGTCCATTTGAAACCAGGGGTTTAACTCCCCCTCCACTGCAGGAAATCCCATGGGACTTTAAGGACTGCAGCATCAGATTCAGAAGCTGTGGTCAGCACTTCAGTTCCTCCAACAGCAAGCTGGAGCTTGGGCTCAGCATTGCTGAAGGAAGAATGCTCCTCAGCAATGTCATTAAGAGTGAATGATTTACACCCTCTCTTGTGGTTCCTACCAGTTCCTGATGTCTGTCTTCTAAGTCTGAACCCAGCTGGACCCTCCTCAGCTTTTGAGACCTTGTGGTCTCAGGCTGGTTCACACTGGAAGTGCAGAAGTATTAGGCAGCCAAGCAAATTATGCACTTATGCAGTCTGGCTGCAAGGGGAGCACACTGCACCCAGACTAAAAGGGGTCTCAACCCGTAGGTCATGACCCAAAAGTGGGTCACAAAAATATCTGACAGGGTCATGAACAACCTTTAAAAATGGATTCTCCTTTAAAGGAGAAAAATGTGGGAAACCGTGGCTTTTCCATTGCAGGCTGGCAGAGTTTCAGCCTGCAATGGGCTGCTTGGGGCTCCCCCGCCCCACACACCCACCCCTTGCCCCGCACACTGGGGGAGGCTGGGGGCAAGGGGCAGCGGGTCAGGAGTGAGGGGCCATTGATGTTTACAAACGAGTCCTGGTACAAAAAAGGTTGCGAACCACTGGGCTACAGCAAAGGGCCAAAAGCAGACACGGACTGAGCCCTTCCAGGGCACAAAAACCTGCCGTCATTTTCCTTACTTCTTGCTCTGCATCATTAACTTCATCTGATCAGCCTTTATCAGGTATGAAGAGTGTTGCTTGGGGATGACCAAACCCTGCTTCTCCACTATCGACAGCTGGCTAGGGTCTTGCCTGAAGGGAGTTTTCCTCCATGTTGATGGGGAGAGTGGGAAAATGTCGGGATTCTGAAGAAGGAGAGAACATGGCATAAAAACCTCAGCAGTTGGTCACTAGGCTGATAAGTTATACGATTTGGGAATGATAGGGACAAAACACAACAGCCCTCAGGCAGGTTTGATATTGCTATATCTGTAGCTACACACCAGGGCTTCCAAGGGAGAACTCTAATAAGACTTTTATAAAGTCTTTCCACATGAGACTCTAAGAGCACTTTATAGGCATTAATTAACCTTCTTAATGCCTTCCAAAGGGGGCATTTTATGCTTCTTCATCTCCACTCTCCTTCAAATCTTTCATCAAGACTCATTTTGTAGGTCAGCCCTTCCACACTGAGCTCCCCCATGGGGCCCTCTGTTCCTGCCTTCCAGCCAGAGTTTGTTCCCTCAAGAGTTAGTCTAAGTTATAATGGAGGCATTTACGCAAGGTGCTTTACTGCACAGTAGACTCATTGACTGCACAGTAAAGTGTCACCATCTACACAGGCACAGCACTTACTGCACAGTAAATTAGTCTACTGAGCAATTGGCTACTGCCTGTAAATACAGGTAGTAGATTTACTGCACTGTTGCAAAGTGCAAGGTAAAGTTGATCTCCTGAGTTCCCTCAACTTTAGAGTCAGCTGTGCCCCTTCCACCCGCTGAGGATCTAACGATCCTATAAACTATCCACAACGCACTGTGATATGAGTATCACATGTGTTTTTATCCCATACTGAGGAGCAAAGTGCACACCAAAACGCACATCCAAGCTGCCTCTTCTGTTGTCTTAGCTTCTGCCCTTCCCTGCCCTTCATGTTTGCCATTTTTTGTGGTGTTTAATCTAAACCCAGCCTGTAAGCATCTTGGCACAGAAGCTTGCAGACTGCAAATACTGTGGCAGTGCCGATGCTTTAGAAACAATAGTTTTCCGGGCACAGGTAAACTGAGGCACAAAGCAAAGAAATAACTGGATTTCGGTCACTCAGCGAGTCAATGGCACGAGCAGGAATGGAAACTAAGTTCAGTTCCTCTGCCTGAAACTGCACAGCAATGGTGTCATCGCATTGGGAGGGGAGACAACAGACCAGGTGGGGCACTGCTCTTCTTTCTGGTAAAGGTGTTTTTGCTCTGGCATCTACCCCGAGGGGAAGCTTGAGAGCTCTTTCAGTTTGTGAAGAAAGCCGTGGCTGGGATGAACCTTCTCTGCAGACCTGAGATCTGAAGGGCATCAAGGACCATACCTGGTGGCAGAAGTGCCTTCGTACAGGAAGCTCCTGCTGGTCCTTGCCAACTGAGGGAAGGAAAAATATCCAGTGAGGAGGGACAGAAAGTGGATGTTGGGTTCTTTCCCCAGCAGTAGCAATCACCCGGATCCCTGATCCCTGCTGCAATCTCATGACCCTAACCCTACAGCAAGGGAGGGAAGCGTCTAAATTGCATCAAGTAGCAACTAGAATTGTGCAAGGCCAGTGCGTAAAGGACCTCGTTGGCTCTTCTCACCATTCTTGGCACAGGTCTGGCACTGGGAATTTATGCCTTGTGATTGTTTGTTTTTTTAATCTGTGCAAGAGAAACCCAGCATCCATCCCTGAACAACCTGGGTGTCGCCTCTCCCAGACGGTAACTCACTATTTTTCTCATCCATCTCAGCCATGAGGTTGCATGGTCCCACTCCTGAGCTGCTGGTATCTTGAAGGCTCTGCAAGGATATCTTCATGCTAGGCATTTCTGATCCAGAAACTAGCCCCTCAGAGCAACCCTGGAGAAATCCCTCACATTGATCAGGAAAGCATGGGCTACTTCTATGGGAGCAATCCCGATAACCAGTGGCCAAAGAGAAATCCCTATAACCAATGGCCAAACATGCTTTAAGAAAAGCCCTGGTTCTCCTGGAGATTCACTTAAAAGCAAGGAGGTAGAGATAACATGATGTCATAAGGAGTAATGGTTATGACATTGTCACATTCCTCCCTCTGCTTAGACTTCTCATCCATCCAGGGCTCCTTCAGGCAATGTGCAATCAAGAGCCGTGATGGGTAATGGCAGAAGAGAGAGGGAGAGATCCAGCCAAAGTAAATAAGGGTTCGAAGAGGGCTTGAAACAAGAAGGAGGCATGATATCCAGTACTGGCATGAAGGTTTACCACCCCAAGCAAGGGCACAGCTCTTACAAGGAAGGACTCTGTGCTCCATGGAGATGCTGTAGTAGGAGTTGGGCTTGCACTGGAAGAGTGACACTGGGGAACCAGAAAGATTGGGAACCGCATCACTAGGACTGTGATGCCCATTATATGGGATATGTTTTCACAGCTCTCTCAGCCTGGGTCTCTGTATAATCTATGGCTGTACAGGGATTTAGAGGCATAATTGCCTAGGGGCGTAGCACAGGACCAGAAACCTCTCTAACGTTGCTGAGTTGCTGTGGGCCTCTGGGTAAGTCACATTACCTCTCTGTGCCTCAATTGCGCCTTCTGGTAGAGCAGGATGTTACCTACCTACCATACCCAGAATGTGGTAGGTCTTATTGGAGCTGCAGAGTGGGTCAAAGATGTAGGCCCAGCACAGCTATGTACAACCATGGCACAGATAAGCTGCTCCAGTCAGAAGGGAAAGCTGCTTCCCAAATAGGATGTCAAGTCACAAGATGTGGCCATTTGAAGAAACTGAGCCTCAGGCAAAAGCTAGTGAGAACTCGCTTGTCCTGGGGGTGAGACCTGGGGAGAGACTTTGAAGCAGAGAGCAAGGAAGCTGCTTTAAGGGAGCTGGGGGGGAATAAAAGAGAGTGCTGTGTTTGGCTCTAGTCCCACTGCTGCAAGTTGGGCTCAGGTCACGAGCACAGAAACCCCAAGACTTCCTACCAACAAGCCCTTGCTCCTATGAGGGAGAGTCCTGGCTTATTTATAGTTTCCCAAGTACAGTGGATGTTGAGGGAGTCAAAGATGTGTCCGTATTTCTTCCAAAGTGAATCCATAGCCATCACATTGGTAAGTAGACGAGCTATACTTGTGCCCAGGGTTGGCCATGTTACATGCACAAGAGAGAAACCGTCCTTCCCCACAGACAAAGTGTTGCTTTCTTTTCATGAAACACAGTCTAACTCTGAATTTGTCTCTCAAACCAAAGTGAATCAACTTGAGCTAAGCCAGTGTCCATAGCATAGAAGCAAGGGCTGATGTTGGCCACAAGGCTGCAGCTAATCAGGTATAATTAAGCAGGAACAAGTTCTGGTCCTATTTGCAATTCATCTTGTAACAAACCCACAGCCAGCTTTATGGGCAGTGTTGGTGCAGCCTATACATGGGGTTGCCTATTTTAGTTCATATGCTTAATAGGATACAGCCTCTGTAATGCTATGTGAAGTTGTTATCCATTCTAAAGGACTAGCTAAACTTCAGCCTAGTCAGCTATTTAGTAGATTCATTTAACATGGGGTTTTTCTTCCTCTTTACAGAATCACATGAATTTTATATACTTCACATTTTTATATTTCCTCTTTTAAGAATGCCAGACAGCTATAGTAAGAGCAATTTGCATGCCTCAATTTATTTTGGGATACTTTTGTTTTGGAGATAAGTGCATGAAATGAGCTAATTGCATAGGATGATGCCTTATAAACAGGCCCACTATAAAAGGGAATGTGTGAAGTTATTTACTGAGCTTGCAGCAACAGATCAGAATTTGCTAATGTACACTTTGTGCCATTGATTAACTGTGATTTCTCTAAATCCTAAGCAATGCATTAATTGAGCTGGGCTGAACTGATCTTCCCAGCTTTCATTCAGAAATAATCAACTCTGTCTTATCGTATGGGAGCAGCAGAGACAGAATTTGGAGCCCCCTGCTTCAAAACCATAAGCCTGGACCACTTGACCGAAAGGGAATCTCTGTTAGAAGCACAGGATACGGGACATGGTTGACAAGTTCTCGTTCCATCCAGTAGACCACAGGGGCACACAAACACCAGCTAATTGCAGTATGGATATTTATTATAACAAAACTTCTAAGCCAAGTCCAAGAACAGCCAGCCAGGGCTCTGGGACTCTGAACTTGAAAGACAATGCAAGAAACTGTCACTGAAAAGAAATCAGACCGTTAGCATTTCTTCTCTCCTCCTCCCTTTGGCCACACATCCATTGATACATGCATATGGGATGCAGGAAGTGATACGGGAGAATATCATACACGTCCATGAAAAAATCAACACCGCTTTCTGTATGACATGAGGAACTCAAGCTCTGTGAACATGCCAGCTACATGGAGGGAACATGCTTTTAGCTGCATTTGGATATCTTAAGCTTGGCCAGCCTCCCAGCCAGTTATTCACCATCTGGGAGTGCACAGCCCTCACTCTTTCACAGATGGAGTCATGGGAGAATAAATATAACCTTTCATTGTAAAACTCGACGCCAAAGAAGTAGCCTAGTTATTTCTAATGGCTTTTAAGGCAATTACAATCAATGTCTGACTCAAGCCTCAACTGTAAAATCAGTTCACTGATTCATGAGCGAGATATAAAATGTCTCCAGCATCAAGCTCCTTTAAACTTGCTAAAATCGGTAGGTCAGATCTGAAATCGCCTCCCTGCTCTGGGATGCAGAAGTGGGGCCTAATTCCCTGCAGCCTTGCACCTTTTCTCCTTGCTCATGCCATGCAAAGCAGGTGTTAACATTCTGCTTATGTCAGCATTTTATACTCACTTGGTCTTGGCCTTGGGGGCAGGACCGAGGAGAAGTTCCCGAATGTCTCTGTGCTTTCATCCAAGCGCCCTCCAGGTCACAACCCCACTCGGTTTCTGAGGTGACTGGTCATACATTGCATCTCATCTCCCAGAGCAACTTAGTTTGATCGGTGCTTTGTACAGCCTGATCTTCCCCTCTCCCCTTGAAACACTTCATTGCAGAGGGTCCTTTTATCAGCACCCACTTCCTCCCTGGGCTGGACAATTTCTTCCCCACCCGCGCACGTTCTCGCTCTCTTCCATTAAGGCTCTTGGAGACAAGCGCCTTTGTTTGACACAATTATTGTTAAAGCAAGCTTGTCTGGGCTTGTCCCTATGCATTATTCTTGGAAGACAGCCCATTGTGGGAAAGCAGGGAGAGAGCGGGGAGACGTTCTTGCAAGAAACACAGCTATAAATCAGCTGGCGTTGGTGACAGGCAGCACAAGTTTGTCCCTGTAACAAATTACTCTACAGCAATGATCAGCACACCCCTCCCGGAGTTTCCCTTGGAAGGAACCCACCATGCCAGACAGCGGTAGAGAGATTTAGGGGTGAAATCCCAGCTTTCTACATGCCTCTGAATAAATCAGGGTCAGCCAAGCCTACTAAGGATCAGATCCTGTAAAAAGCACTGAGCTGCTCTTAGGAGCAGAGCAGTAGGAGTTTGCTAATCAGAACAGAGGCCAGGGAGTGCTGGCAACATAAAAGCTGTACACAGGTTTCATGCAGCCTTGTTTGCTGCTTAAAGGCTGTTAAATTGCATGGAGGGACTGACCAGAGGCATTGTTGTTGTAAGTAATTTTAGCTACAACCAAAAAGGAAAGCTCTGTAAATAAACCCAAAGCCACAGGGAGGGTTTGATCTTTGCTTAGCATGGGCTTTCTCTGAAGTCTCACTATGGGCTAGAAACTATGACTGTTTAGTGTCCAGAGCTGGGACCAGGATTTCAGATGGGACTTGGTTTTCAGACACGCAGTTCCCCTGTTTTCAACACCTGAACCTGATTTAGGGCTAGCTACACCCCTGTGCCTTCTTTCGAAAGCACCACTTTCCCCATGATTTAGGGTTTAGGTAGCACTAGGTAGATGGCCCTTATGGAAACACCCACTGCCAGCTCCATGCACAGCAGGGCCTACGGAAGAGCTGGAGAGCCAGCAACACCTTGTCCTTCCAGTCTTGAGTTACCAGATTTGCCCATTACTTTGGGGTGTGCTCATTTATTAGGGATACGTTTCTAGGGTCTTAGTAATTCTGTCAATGTGCTGCTTGTGTTACTTGTGTTTCTATACGGAGCTGTATCTCTCCCTTCTGCAAGCCCTCACCCCCAATGGAGCTATCTTGCAAGACTCAGTCTCAATGGGGCCACCAAATCAGCCATACACACAAACACACACAAATTAACGTGACACGCCTGACCTAGCCGGGTTGATCAGCATGGACAGGTTGACGCCGTCATATGCCAAGAATCAGTTCATCAGAGCAACAATACACTGCAGTCAGACACAAGCACACAGGTGAACAGAATCCCTCTGAATCCAGCTGGGTGTCCAGCTGACACCCTCATGGGCCAGCATTCAGTTCATAAGGGCACGTCTGAGTCAAACTGGGTCAATCAGCCTGTACAAGCTGATCCCCTTATGTGTTTCAAACTCAGCACGTCCCATTCTTTGGCCTCTTGATGAGCAGACCCCACAGTATTTTTGGGCTTCACAGGGATCTTTAGCTTAGGT